GTTGATTCGATAATTCAATCGAACGAACGGGGCATAGTAATCGTCACGGGGTTTTGGTTCAATTTTTTTCTCAAAAAGAGGACACCTTGTATTATTCCAGGGGATACGGAGAGAGGTGCACGACCTAGTTACGCTTGGGCGTGTTATATAGGTCATAGACACCATTCGCAGCCAGTGATACGTGCCGCACACGCGTGTGTGCACGCTCACCTGCGCGGAGGATCCAGGATCACGGTTAGTTTCCACGGAAACGCCCCCCCACCCCCGAATATGGGACAGTAAAAGTTTCACTGCTGCACGTATACACGTATGTATATCACCATGCTCATAAGGATGAGGACACCTGATCTGTACGAAGACGATGTAAAATGATACCTTTCCTTTGGTAACCGATAAGATTCTTTGTAACGATCATCGACTCTAGCCTGAGATATCGGAATAATAATAAAATTTTGGAAAATTGTTGATTTTAGGGGTTGACATTTGTCGGTTTCACGTTACATAAATTATTTTTATAGTCACGAAAAACATTCGGGGTGTAGAGGGTTAATATTCCCTGAACAATATTTATTTCAGACTTTCAGAAATTTCGTAACGTCTTCTGACATTTACTGTATATTCGATAAGTGTCCTAATACTTATGACCGTGAGTGTATGATACAGTTCTACTTACGATTATCAGTCGTGATCGAACGAATTCGTCGCCGGGGAACCGGAAACCACGGGTCGCGAAACGAGCAGTCTGACGAGCTTGTACTCCCCCCTTTCGAGGTGACTGTAACTTGGCACGAGTCCTGAAAGTTGGTTTGTCTCAAAGGAACAAAGCGGTTTTTAACACGTAACGCGAACGAAGGAACGTGCACGAGCTTTGTTTCGAATCGTTATCACACCCTTTGTGACCAGTCTGTAGGGATTTGGTCGACCAAGTGATTTGTTTTTGAAAAAGCGATTCGTTGCGCCCTTTCCATCAATTCCTCTGTCATGTCAGCCACTCGAAAGGGTGTCCTCATCATCTGAAAAGAAAAAACGATTCTCCACGACCCTCTGGAAACATCCCTTGCCTCAGAACCTTCGGTTTTTCGACGTTCCTCCACTCCCACCGTGATGGCAAAAGAGAAAGCAACACGGCAGTTTGCGTTTCATCTCCCCCCTGGTTGAAACACCCCCTTTCCAACGTCGACCTCCATATTTTTCCGGAAAGGGGGTTGGGGGTGGGCTCTTGGTAAAAGAGCATCGTCGAGGCCTTAACGTGCGCCGAGATCCGTCATCTAGATCCTTATACATACGTAGGCTCGCGTGCGCATAACAGAGTAATTTGTAGCTTTCAAGTTGCCCTCACGAGTGTGTCTCTCTCTCTCTCTCTCTGTGTATGCCAACGTCGATCGTTTCCATTCAAATCGTTTTACAGAATAAATTTCTCATAATGGGCGGGTTCTGTGCAATGAAAAATGCCTTCTTTGCGCAGCCTGGATTTCGTAATTTTACTTTTTTTTGTACGTTTGTAATCGAGGATTTACTGTATTTAGTACGACACCTTTCGTCCAAGGACGTATCGAGCCATTCCATGGGAGGGACACGTAAAAATGGAGGACTTAGGTAATAAAACGATCGATTAATACCCGAAATTGAGAGAAGATTTTCCTCCTCTGTTCTATCCAGAGTTTCCTGGTGTTCTGGAGGAAGACAGGTCGGTCGGATTAAGGGTATAACGTTCGCTTCCACTCGGAAATTTCATTTGCGGGAGCCATGCCCTCTCTGTGTTTGTACATTGAACCGGAATCGAATCAGCTTCTGTCTCTTCCGGCTTGAGGATTTCTTTCTGTTCTACCCCAAAAACGGATTGCGTGTGTTCTTTTGACGGTGTGGTCGTGTGGAGGCGTTGAAATTGGGGGATCTACATTGTTTTTCAGGTTCTTTTTGGTATGCTGATCGATGGTATTGAATAGTACTAGTATGATAGGAAACTATTTAGTAGTTTAGAGAAGGATCCCAGCTGTACAACTTTTATTTTAAGGGTTTATTTTAAGTACAGACTCCTCTCGATTATTGTCACGAATTCGGGTCCACTCCGGCACAATAATCTTATAGGGAGAAATGCTTCAGACCTTCGTAAAATTGGTTTTCTTTTTGCCTAAAAGCAGTAAATAAATGTCCATTATAGTGGACAAAGAAAGTGAACGGTCCCGTATCGTTATCGTAATGTTTAAAAAATTATTTATAAAGTGCAGAACGTGTAAAAGCCCAGTAAATAACTGCTACATTTCCGAAATATTTTTAATAAGAATTGTACTTACTAATGTTTGCTTAATACGCTAAACTAAAAATATGGGATATTAAAAGTGCAACTACACTCCACTTATAAACATTTAATAATTTCAAATGAATAAATTTGCATTTCTTTGCTTAATGGTCATTCATTGGTATGCAGCCAATTACTGGTTGGTTTACCCTCCTTCTCGAAGTCGGTCAGAAATATGTTTCCGATACTAGTAACCCATTGATTAACTCGATATCCCGTATAGTGAACAAATACAATGAGCGGATTAAGTAGATATCGATACGAGAAAGTTGATTATTCGGCGAAATGTCACGAAATTTTCTCGATCCGAACCGCTATGCGCCAGGCCGATTCATTTCCACACCCGGTATAGAGGACTCCCTCTCCACTGACGCGCACGCGTACACCAATCCATCCCCTCCCCCTTTTATGTTCTCTCCATATTTCCTCTATCCCCAGTTTTATCGTTTCCTTCTTTTCTCCTTGTCTCAAAATTCCTCCCCTATCCCTTCGTCATCCCCTTTCGTGGAGTGCAACCTCTAACCGTTCGAGGTCTCCCTTCTTCGCCTGTATCCTCTCTGTTTCCCTTACCCCCTCCGCATGGAATACGGTTCTCTCTCCTCGTCGACGGATCAGAGGGATCGCGGGAGCAACCGCGTTTCTCTCTCAGTCTCTTGCGCGAAGCGGTCCCGTGTCGACGTGTGTGCGTGCGTGTGATGTAGCGTTGCACTCGATAGGATTGCGGCTGGTCCAGATCCCTGGCTCTCCCTGGATCTCCCTGGATCTCCCTCGCTCTCCCTGGCTCTCCCTGGATCTCCCTGCTCCAACTCTTTTTACCCTTATTCCTACGTCTTCTACCAACCCAGTGACGTGTTTTAAACACATTCTCGATCACGAAAAGGTGGATGAACAATTGAGGAAGAGAAACAGCGAAAGAGTGCGTGTTACTGCTATTTTCGAGAGGCTGTGGAGCACGGCCAACGCGCGCGTCCGTGGTTCATCGGACGAAAAAGAGAAATAAAGACGTGGATTGTTCGGGGGGAGGTGGAAGGTCGTCATACAGAGCGATCCACGCACCACTGTCGATCTATTGGATCCTCTTGTCTGAGTGAACGCGCGTGGCTCTTTATGTGACAGAAGTAGTGCAACTTGAAATAGTGGGATCTTTCGATTTGTGATCGTTATTGTGTGGTTAGAGATGTTTTTTCTTTCTCCATAAAGAAAGTTGATTCGGAGCACGGTGTCGAGGATCTGTGACCCCTCGTTGCAATGATGATCGTGTAGATCTGTCACGATCACGGAGTGATTGACCCCGTAATTGACCCAGTGTGAAAATTGCTCGATTGAGAGGATTTATTGATTTGTAATCGAGAGGAGGTGAAAGATTAACAGAGTTTTCTGTCTTTTTTTTTTGTTTATTGTTATCTGGACGTTTTTCAAGTGCTGGATGGAAGGATTGTGGAGAAGTGTAAGCGGGGAACAGTGTAAGGAGAACGTTGAGGAGTTGTGAAAAGTGTTATTGTTTTGTTGAGATGTTTGAGCTGGTCACGAGTCGTGTTGGTTTAATTTGTTCGCTGTGGAGGGGATAGAGGTCGAAGTTTTATACGTGGAGGAAAAGAGGAGATCGAGGATGGCACTGTCGAGGACGTATCCCTGATTTTTCATTACTTTTGGACAGTGATAGTTCCTGCTGTTTGCACGTTACTCGTCATGGAGGCTGATTTGCGGAGGTTGGTGGCTGATTGATCGAGAAAATAAAAATAGAATTGTAGAAGAAATTATTCACACTTTGTGAAGAAAATCGATTAAAAGAATTTTCATAAAATTTTCAATTAAAAAAGATTGTTAACAAGATTGTTAAAAGCTACTGTTTCTCATGTAGCAAATAAATATTAAGTTTTGTAAATACTTCCTGAGATATTTGTAATTGAATTGAATACAAAAAAATTCGTGTTAGGGCCTATTTTTCATTTTTCAATTGGTGCAAATGGATTAATCACACTTTGTGGAGCAAATTGATTAGAAGAATTTTTATAAAATTTAGAATTAAGATAGTTGTTAACGAAATTGTAAAAAGTTACTGTTACTCGTGTAGCAAAGAAAGTTTTTGTGTTGCTATATTTAGAAGGAAGTTTGGATTGAATGAACCCGTAACGAGAGTATTGTCTTGTCGAAATTACGGGAGCTTTTAGCGCGTGCCTCGAATGCAGTTTAGTTCGTAACTAAACTCGTTACCGTTCTGCCGCGAGGTTTTCGAAACGAGAAAGTTTCATAAAACTGGCGGAACTACAACCTTCGAATACGTTAAATTGATTTTTTTTTTGCTGTTTGCTACGCAAGTTTACCTGTTTTTTCCTATCGAAAGATGAACTACCTGTCGTTACTTGAAATCTTCGAAGTATGCTCGCACTAACTGTTGCTCCTTTAAAGTGTCGTGAAATAATTTTAATAATTTACTTTATTATAAGTGTTTTTTTTTCTCCTGTGTGCAAAACCGCTTGTAAACAATTTATAAAATCACGTTTTCCTACAGAATATATGAACAAAGTTAACCTAGTACAAGTGTGAAATTGGAGTTATATCAATTTGCCAAAAAAGTATGATTAAACATCGACTGGACTGATGTCAGAACGTATTGTTTTAATCGTGTTTGCTCTAATCAACAATTGCATACAGTGTTCTGAACAGCGTTGATAACCGTTGTGTTTGTGTCTGCTTCCAGAGTGTACGATGTTGGAAGGTGGACGTGCAGTGGTCCGGCTCCTTGTATCAGCCCCACGAGCTGCACGCCACCCGAACGATTCACGTACTAACCAAATTGCACCTGTTTGAACCCACCAGTTGCAGTGTGTCCTGCACCGTAACCCCATGACGCATTTAACACATGGCCCGCCTGGAGAGTAAGTGGTACCATTCACACCCTCAAACGAGTTTTTCATCCTGTTCACCCATTGCCTGTGTCCTACAGTGATTTACAACGTGTGTTAGTTACTTACGCTGAGCTTACTAATTTACACCAATTGTCTGAAGGTTCTTCTTCCACTGGAAAGTCCAGTTTCCAGAAGGCCCCTGTCTTATCAGAAAGTCCAGTTGAAGAACCTGTGCAGACCGAATTAGAGTTTTAAGACTGTCACAAACTGGGTTTACACAGTTGATGCTGTCTAAAGATTCCTGGCTTGCTTAATACCTTTCGCCAGTTTAACCCTTTGGGGTCCTACATTTAGGTCGACTGAACAGTCGACTATATTCTCGCAACAGAAGTTTTCCATACACTGGCCTCTAATTTTCCAGCCTTCACAAATACCACCTCAATACTCCTTAAACATTATGAATATATATTATTCCAATTAACGTATTGAAATCTAGTTACCCTATACCATATTTATACAAGTGCCAGAAGTAAAATGCCTAGAATACCTTGGCCCGCAAAGGGGTTAAGTATACAGACCAAAGGAAGTCGACTGATCATTGAACCAAGTAACAACCTCCATCAGCTTAAGGGGACTCGCTTGGAGTGGCCCCAGATAAGCCTACCTCCTCCTTCACCTCCCCCTTGGTCGATTAATCACTCGATCCCTCGACCAAGCAATATCCAAGATCTGATACCGATAATTCTGTCAAAGGGACGTGTCGATCAGAGAGCGATTCGATTGTGTTTCAGTACCAAGCATAGTGGTGCATAAAGGCAGCAGGTCGCACAGCCGACCTGAGAGTCCCACGGTGGTGGTGCGAGGAGGAATGCCCTCGCATCCGTCCTCCAGGCAAGGCTTCGTCATAGGTGGCCCAAACGCGTCGTACAAGAACAGCCCGGAGCCGGATATGATAGACGGGAATGCCAATTCCAATGTCGGCTCGTCACCCTCGCTCCACCGTACCTCACCCTCCTCCTGTCCGTCTGACAAGACCGACACAGAGAACAGGAACTTTCGTAACAGGGTATGTACCGTCGGGCCTCCTCGTCGGACGTAGCCTCGGACAAAATTTTTGCTAAGGAAAAACATGTTTCACATCACCTCACGGGTCTCCTATTTCCGGGTCTTCTAATATTTTTGTTACATCCTGTATATTAGAGGTGGAATTGATTGTAGGATTATTTTTTGTGTTAGGCGAATACGAAGGTAAAGTTGCTGGTCAGGAGTCATGCCATGAGAGAGTCGACGTCTCCCCCGAGGGAGCCACACAACGGTTCGTCCTCTCCGCATAGTCCTCAGTCGGTGGATGGCGAGAAAAAATTCACTGGCAACCTGTCCCCAAGCTCCACCAAGCTCAACAACAACGAGTCGATGTTCAACAGTAATCTATGCTCGAACCAGTCCCCGAAGCAAATGCGTAACACGGCTACTTCACCTACCTGTCGAGCTCCGTCGCGAAATGGTAACTTCTTCTACGGTCAGATTCGAGTATTGAACCCTTTTTAACAAATTATCTACCGGCTGCTATTTAACAGGGCTTCCAAGGAGCTATTAACTCTTTGAGGCACACGATTTTAAAGAAAATGAAAACCCTAGTTGCACAGAATATTTTTTAATATAAAAATAAAATATTAAATTGTATGACTATGAGTAACTTCAACTTTTCGAGGTGGGTTAAAATATATCCCACCATACATAAAAAGCTAAGCAAAAGGTGGGACAGTTTTTAATCCACCTAACCCTAAAGAGTTATTAAACAGTTAAATTACAGTAGGGAATTAAATTTATGAAAAACAGCAAGAACTCTAATAGAGTAACGTATCAATTTCTTCCTTGACCCTGGTCTAAGGGTAAATTAGTTTCTGAAATTGAAAAGCCTGTTAATAGGCTACCGGTCAATAAAGTGTTAACATTAGCTAGACTCATGTTGTATATCGGTACTCAGCAACGATGCGTTCCCAATGATTCCAGGTCAATCTAGTCCTTCTCAAGTTCACTCACCAAAGAATAACACGTCTCCAACGAACGGCCATAAGTCGGAGCACCAACGTTCCAAGATGACCGGCTCGAATCAGCTTATCCAGAAATGCAATAACTGCGTCAAGAACAATCAGAACGACCGGCCCGGTCTGCTACAGACGCCTGTGTCACCGTCGAAGTCTGGCCAGGCGTTGCAGCACTCGCCTAAGAGCACGAACTTGGCCCAGAACGTTCAGAACAATCAGAAGTCGGAGCAACGTAGACCGAACAACTTGAACATCTGTAACAATCAGTGTGGCACGCAATGCGGGAATACTCTGTCGGTGAGCAGACCGGGCTCACGTCACAAGTTGAGGCACCAGAATTCGTCCCAGGGTAGCTTCGACAGTGCTTCACCATGTCTGTCCAGAGGTTCGACTTTTAAGTTTCAAATTGAGGGATCTTCTTAAATGCTCTTAACCCTTTGCACTCGGAATTTCTAATTTTTCATTCATTTTGTCTCGCGAGGCACTTCCCCTTAAAACGTACTTTCGAGCACACAGATTCGTTCTCCCACCACATTGCTCACCAAGCAGTTGACGAGACCCCATTGCAATTCTGTCTTGTTTTCGTCCCCTCAAGATTGATTACAACGATCTTTCTGGCATTTTATTTACAGACAGCAGCACAGAATTGTACACGGACAGCACCGGTATAGATCTCGAGCATTTCATCGCGGAGACCATAAACCGTAATCAGAAGGACCGCACGGTGCTGTTGAAGATCGAGAAGGATTTGATCGAGTTCGCGAAGGACAAACAAAAGGTCTGTCACAAGTTCCCGAACATGTCCTCGTACAATCGAATGTTGGTGCACCGTGTTGCCGCTTATTTCGGCATGGAGCATAACGTCGATCAGTCCGGCTCGAGCGTGATCGTCACCCGTACGAAGAACATGCGGATCCCGAACACACGTTTCAAGGAGCACATCAGGGACGATCTGATTCTGTCGGAGGAACCGCGTCGTAGTATCTTGAAAAGAGATTCGAGCTCGTTCGAGGACAGCTTCAACTTCAAGTCGCCCGATAGACTGTCCGGGGATTACTGCCGGCAAAGCAAGAGCTTCGAGGAACGGGAAGAAGAATACGAGCGCGCTAGGCGAAGGATATTTAAAGACAGTAGCGGGGACAGTAACGAGGTACCTTCGTGGCCTTACTGGTCTTCGACGGAGAGCTCTGACGCCTCCGCTAGGTACCGTTTGCTGCATCCTTCTGACCACACGATGAGGTGAACACATATTTTATTTTATAAATTATGGTAGGTTATTTTACCATAACAGGGAGGGTAAATATCATTGTTGATCTGACAGGCAAACGAAGCTGCTGAAAGGAGAGTCTTTCGACGGAAGGGAATCTTGTCGGAGCGGTGTCTTGAGGCCATCCGTTTCGAAGTCGTTCAGCTTTGGAGGTTATACGAGAGGTATGCTTTCCAGAGGGGACAGTGTCACGTCTACTCACAGCGCTGGTGCGCGTCTCATGAAGCAAGGTTCGCCAATATTCTTGTTCCTCGATAATCTATCCTAATAGGCGACGTCAAAAGTGTCTAAAGAATTGAAGTCTGTTGCAGACTCAGGTGCTAGCACGTGTTCACGACTGAGCCCGTCGAGCAGCGGCTACAAATCCCAGAGCCAGCGCAGCGACACCACGATATCTCCCTCCCCGTCGCCGTCGCCCGTGGCGAACATGACGTGCAGCCATACCCAAGTATCTAGTCAGGATCTCGCCTCGCCGGAATCGAGCAACCAGACAGTGATATGGGCGGTCACCAGTATATCGAGCGTGCCGCCCGGTAGCATAATCATCAATCCGCAAACGAATCAGCCGTACACGAATCCGGATGGTTCGATCTATCGTTTCGACCCGGAGAACCCGCCAAAGTTTTATACTGCTGCTACGTCGCCGCCGCACGAGCACGACGCGAACAACGTGTCCCCGTCGAAGAACACGGAGCCATCCGAGCCATCCAAAGTAACCAATAGCAGCGCAAAGAACGAGGGCAACAAGAAACGCTCGCACTCGAACAAAAGTAACGGTGGTAATTCAACGACGGTCACTCACGTGACGAACACGGCAACGTCGCCCAGTTTGCCATTCACGCCACCACCCCCTCAGCAGAATTTACCGCTTCAACAGCAACAACTGCCGCCGCCACAGCAACAACTGCCGCCGCCACAGCAACAGCAGCAACAGCAACAGCAGCAGTATCAGCCACAGCAACAAACTCTAGTCAAATCGTCGCCGACGGTGCAAGCTTATAATCACAACCAAACGGCTCAACCGTACGCCGCATACATACCTACCTCAGAACCGTACAACCAAGGTGTCTATCAACCCCCTGTGGGGCAGCAGACTGTGATGATGGCTCCGCATCCGAGCCAGGGTCAGCCGAATGTACAGAATAACGGCCAAGGGGATGTGTTTAATCAGAATTCGGTTTACGCGAATTATGCAGTACCTGTTCAGCAAGGACCAGTGTCGCAGACAACGGTAAACAGACAGATTCTTTCTCTTAGATTCCGAATAACGCGTGTCGGTCGCTCGAGGAGTTACAGTGAGTGATTGTGTTGTCTCGTTTAGGAAATAACGGAACTGTCCGGATATTTTATGGGTATGAGTATCTACGATCAGCGTGTGTCCGGTGATAATCATTCGACGCCGCCGCATTCTTATCCGCAACCGCAGCCGTCGACCAACCAGCCGGTGCAGAGTGTACAATCTATGCCGCAGAATTACTGGCAGCCGCCGCCCAACTCGATGCCGGTACGTTTTTCTTACATTTAAGACGTTTGCTGTTATTAGGTATAATAATATTATTATAATAAATAAATATGTTTTTAATAATAATTTATTATAACGTGCGTAAATTCGGCCAATATACATTGGAATCTTTAGAAAGAACATATTTATTTACTGTAAATAAACGGGCATGGCCCTTTTGCACAGAAAAGTTATAATAGGACTATAGAATAAACTTCAACTCAATTATAATTACGATTAAAACTAAAAAGAAGAAGAAAGAAAATTACTATTATGTTGTAATATTTACATTATTAATTACAGCCGCAACAAACAATGTATTTCGTACCCCCTCCCGGTACAGCGCTTTCGGTTAGTCAGGGTCCAGGTGATAGGCAGCCGTTGCACCAGCAACAAAGATACCCCACGAATTATTCTTTTAACGCGCAAACTATGACGCCTCCGAGCCAATCGAATTGTACGTCAACCATTTCCTCTATTCGCTAGTGTCTTCCTTAAGAAATATCTCGTCACCGATTAGTTTAATTATATAATTTCTATTTTAGCCAATTATGTGGGCAGCTATCCAGTTCCCTACAATTCTGTACCCGCCGTGACACCAGCGCCGGGCGACTACAGCTATCAACCGCCGGTTCACATGGTTCCCACGTATTACCCACCGGGCCAAGCCGCGATTCAACCACAACCGGTCATGTACAGAGTACCCACGCCACCGAACACTCCGACCTCTAATCAGGTATTCGATTACGGAATGTTCTTAAAAGAGCGCCGTTTGCATAAAGTGGGAATGAAAAAAACTGAAATCCTCACAGATGCCAGGGATGCCGTTGATGTACGTCAATTCGGGCAATTATCCACCGCCGACGATGGTATCAAATGGGACATTTAGTCATCAAGTCGGGCACAACGGTGCATCACCTGCGCCACCTGGAGCTTACATGACTCCCGCGTTGGTTCCCAATCTCGTCTTCAGACAAAACGTTCCTGTAAATGTTCCCTTGATACGTTAATTTGGCTGTCTTGCTTTCAGCACAGACGAGATATAAGAACAGACCTAACATGCAATGTAATTTTCTGTCCCATATTGCGGGGGCGTCAGAAGCCCCTGTAATATTCGTGGGACATCAAGTCCCATAAGATGTTAGATTTATTCTTATATTTCGCCTGTTCTTTCAAGTACAGATGAAAAATATGCATATTAACGTGTGTCAATTTTTCGTAGGTCGTTGCCGGTGTTCGTGCTTCGACGCCGGGTAATTCTCAAAGGACTAGCAGGTCGCCGACTCCAGCGCACGAGCTGTTCGGAAGTGGGAGCGGGGACAGAAGCGCACAATCCCAACCACGCTACCCACTGCCAATGTATCAGGGTGTCCATATTGTGCAAGGTATCTAGTCCATATTTTATACTTAAAACAATCACTATTGGCTATAGTACTGTCTGCAATTCTTTCTATATTGCACTCCATTCTTTCCCAGGGGATATGAGATTGATGCATCCCGGAGTACCGGCTAATCCACGGCTGCAGTATGCACCAGTACCATCACCACCTGTTGTTCAAGGTTGTCCACGACCGTACCGACCGCCTTCATACTCGTCGAACACCTCAGGTGCTGGTACACCCACCTCGTTCGATGGGCGAAATCAGAAGATACGTAAACAGAGGTGTGACTTTTCTTGTTATTACTAGACAGCGGATTTTTATGCAAAATCAGATTTTAGAAGGTTGTTCATAAAGATAAAAATAAATGTAGGAATTCCTTTCTTCCCTTAACTATATTATTGGATTGAAAAGAAAATAGAAAATTCGTTGCATCTGAAGAACTAGTTATTACCGTAGTAAACGTTGACAGTCATTTGTATATCGATCACATTGATCGAGTAGAAGCTTTTGTATGTTTAATATTAAAATCTTCTTCGTTAGGTCCAAAGTAACACCGTTGCCACCGACTGGCGCGCGGCCCAATCTTTATCAGACTCCTTCCATGCCGTCGCTCTCGTCCAACGTGCCCAAAGATCTCAGAGAAGGTAAGGATCAGACCGATAACCCCCGTGATCTAGAACCCGAATAAGATTAGATGTTCGGCTCGTTTCGGTACGTTCTGCTTGGAAAGCTCTCTCTCTGTTTATTTTTTTTTTCTACCTTTCCTTGTTTCCGCTTACGAAAGAACGCGAAAGAAAAATGTAACACCAATTTTTGACACGTATCTTGTGTATCCCCTTTAAAAGCGAAACCTGTGGAAGACAATATGATCTAAGGTACAGAAACTTCATCATCAGTAATAAAATACTACCAACGAACACGGTGTAAAATCACATCGTTTACCATAGGCGCTTCTTTCCACACACGTTCTATTCGCTTACGATCGATATATCTGTTCGCGTGAACGTTATATGCTTGGAAAAATGCTTTCTATTTTTTATTGGAAAATTTCGTTGAATAATTTATTCTTTTTTCAGAGCATTTACGATGCAAACAGTGCACTGTGTACGCTTACATGCTCACGCTCTCAGGCGATGTTACAGTATTTCCTTGCTATAAGATGATTGTTTATTATTATTGATTATTGTACTGATATAGATGTTACTATAAAATACCACCACTCACAGATACACCTACGTAATACAAATAAATAATACTTGCCTGCACATAACCTGACGTACAAATCGATCTTATAACGAGGAAGTATTGTACTCTGCAGAACTTATTGCCTTCAGACTAGTTACAATGAATGTTTCAACTGCACAATTAATTATTTTCTCTTTTTTTTTTTCTGACCAAAACTCTAGCATTGGGCCGTCTGTCGCACGATACCTCGGCCTCGAGGTAGACAACCACGGTTTACCAGAAATTCTAACTTCTCAATATCGTATACATTACACACAGTCTGCAAAAACTCATCGTGTAATCTCGTCAAGCATCAAAATACGCTTTACAGCGGCCGTTCTCGGTGTGTCCCGACATATACAGGGTGTCCCAAAATAGTTGTAAGTCCTTAAAAGGGGTGATTCCTGGGGTGATTTGAAACAACTTTTTCCTTAGCGAAAAAGTTCTCCGAGGCGTCGTTAACGAGATATTCAGGGAAAACCCAAGTTTTTCTTTAATATCTCGTTAACAGAGTCTCGGAGAATTTTTTCGCTGAGGAAAAAGTTGTTTCAAATCACCCCAGGAATTACTCCTTTCAAGGACTCATAACTATTTTGGATCAGCTTGTATCATCTTGAATTGATTCGCACAAAACAGTAACACTCACCGGCCCACATTATTGTATGTCACCAGGCTTGATCACGGTGATTGGCCAGCGCTGCTCTTAGAGATAATACTTTCGTCTTGCAGGGACCGTGAAGGTGACAATCACCCGTCGTAATCAACTGGTACAATATTAAGGTAGCTGGATGGTCCTGGTCGAGGAAGAACAACATTAGGAGAACAAGAAACAGAACGAAGATGGGACCGGGCTGAACAGAGAACGAACAGAATCGGAATTTGGACGTCGAATAAAATTCGTTGGTTCACCGGTATAATATACAGAACACTATTCTTAATTAATTCGTCACCGCGTACATTTAATCGTCGACGAGAGGACGGAGGAAACGAGAGCATACACATATACACCGTGCTACAAAAAAAAACACACACACACAAAAAAAAAAAGAAACGGTCGAACGAAAGCAGTCACCGCGACGATCATTTTGATAAAAATAAAATCGAATCCGATATATGACCACCGTTATCGATTAAGAAAATTCGAACTGTTATTCAAAGATCAATTCGAGGGAGTTCTATATATTCTATATATGTGTGTGCGTAGAAAGAGAAACAAAAGGATGTGAGTTTGTTTTTATTTCTATTTTTTCTGCAAGGCGGGGGGGGGGCGTACGATACACACACAGGTACACCGAACAGAGAGTTACTGAACAGAATTTTACCTATTATAATTATTATATATATTATATATATATACAGTATATTATATCTGGAGATATTTTAATCGCGGTTTTACAGATAACTATATGAATGTGAGATTTAATTTTAAGGACAGAAGAAGAAAAGGTACTTTTAAAAATGAACACACACACACACATACATAAACACGGGGGTTACCTAGACCGGCTATATGGATGGTCAAGGGAATCCGCATATAATAATAATAATAATAATAATAATAAAAGAAGCTAATGTACGAGTATTATAATGTACACGTTACTGAGTACGTTTACAATTTTGCTGTAGATCCCAATGGATTGGCTGTGCCACCACTTGCTTTTAGTCTTAATGGGAAAATAAGGAAAAATTGTTTGCTACCTCAATTTTGATATCGAGAACGTTTTAGAAAAGTCTGCCTTTTAATCAGGGCTCGGGACACTTCAGTGAATGTTTCTTTTTGCGTAATTCTCAGAACACTGTTCTTAGTTTTGTGGATCAGATCGTTTTAGGTGCCTTTTCAGTTATCTCCTTGAAAAGAACTTTGATCTCTTTCCGTTTGAGGACAATCTGAACATTAATTTAGCGATTTCCTTTAAGAAATTTCTATAGGTCACCAATGACGTGAGAATAAATACTTTAGTTAATCAAATTGGATATTATTGTTTTGTTATGTATATAATTAAGGTACTACGAAACGATCTGTAGCACATTCTATCGGTGTCTGAACATTTCACCCAAGAACGATCGATGTCTGTTTCCTATCACATATTTTCGTACACGTTAATCTCACTTCGAGCGAACCTGTAAACGTATTCAGTACATAGTCTATATATCTAGTTCGACACAGAGTAGTTAAGTAGCGCGAAACCATCACAGCTTAGCAGTCACAAGAGAGAAAGAGAGAAAGAGATACCAGTCTCGCGAGCGCGCGTCTTTTCGATATCGTTTTGTAACTTTTCGTTCTGCCTGTACTAGAAGGGAATCGAGATGTCTCGATGCTCAGCCAGAACGCTACGTTTAATGGGGATTCACCGTATGGACTATTGCGATAATTTTATTCGAACGAAGAAGCGTGTGTCTAAAGATAGATGTCATTAAACCCTGGCCATCTAAGAACACACGGTTTCGAGGAGAGGCAATCGATGTTCCTGAAGATATGTACTTAAAGAATACTCTTTCGACTGTCCATACCGGTGGATACCCAATATCCAGTCCGATTTGCAGTGGTGAAACATTTTAAACGAAGATACTCGTCGCACACGGTGTAACTATGATTCGTCTTCCAAGAGCTTCTCACGGCACGCTTCGTCAAGTCAGTCAGTCACATAGGATGTCCGCGAGCATAGAGGTACCGTTTCACAAAGCCCGAACCGCTCGAAAAAAAACAGCGCCTGGTGTATGTCAGTTGGGGTCAGCGGTGATGGTGACGCGTGATCGTCGTAATTTAAACAGGAAAAAAAAATGTCTCCGTCTGTGAAATGCAAAAAAAAAAAAATGAACAAAATTCGCGGATCAATGTGGACGATGAACCACGATCGTCCTGGATCGTCGTGATCCACGTTGCTCCGCGAAGAAGGAAAAACCAAAGTGGGAATCCATCCAAGAACGCTTTCGTTTACGGTGAAAATTGTTAATTTCGGGACGTGGGTAAAGGGTGTGCCTATCTTTTTATCGGATCTCCAACACTTCAATTTAAGAACGGGGATTACATTGTGTGAGTTCAGTCGCGGAAAAGGGAGGGGAGGGAAGTGATCTGAGACGCGAACACGTTTAGATTTTTCGATTGTGTAAAGAGATGGGCGCACAAAAACCGTAGTGTTTAACCTGTACCTAAAAAAAGTCGTAGATTATTAATGAAAGATAATTGTACCTATAAAGAAACAACAAAAAAAAACACACAAACAAAGATAAAACAGTTTACGAATCTCTGTAAGACGTAATTACCAAAAAAAAAAAAAGAAAAAATACGAACAAAATAACGAAATTGGAGAGGGAACCGCCTGCATGTGACGTCAGACCATCAAACGTGTACAGAGTGTCCCATATTAAATGGAGAAAAAGAGAGAGAAGTTATACAGATTGTTCTGCACGAATGAAAATGAAGTACGTACGGAGAAATTCTTTGTTAAAGTATGAGACCGCTTAAAAGTGCAGAGCTTGACAGAGCATGCACTTGTAAACGTTCAAACTAGATTATCCCGATATTTCAAGAAAATTATTGCACACAGTTTCGATTCAGTTTTTATACGAAGAATCGTCTAGGACAGTCTGTATATCGTATTATCCGTTTGTTTGTTTTCAGTATATTTTTTTTGTTTCTTTTTTTTGTTTATCAATTAACGAAAAACGATTTTTGAGAGAAACGTCGTGCAAAGATGCGTATGTGTACAGAATGAAATGTAATATTCCGCCGTTGTCGTTACGGTAAATCCTCGATGAGTGTTGGAAGCCGCCTCGGAACTGAAACATTAAATATTTCATAAACTAATGCGGCTGAAACAAATATCATTGGCTTCAGAATTCCAAGCTCTACAACTGTGCTAAACCTCATTAAAAAGTCAGCGTTACATCTGGGGACCTCTCGTTACAGTGCCGAGGAATACTCGAACACTCATTAAGGATTCACTGTACCTGCAGACGGTAGCGTTTGCGTGCGTTGTGTGCAACCGTAAACACACACACAGCTGAACCAAAGTTTGTCGTAATCGCCAATTGCACACTGGTCAACGTTTATTTATTTATTCATTTATGCTCGCCGCGTATACGCTTTTATCGAAAGGCTCGAGACAGCACCCAGGCGTACCACCATATCCCCCCCCTCGTGATTCGATGAATCGTACTTCGCACGTTTAACGACTTCATCGTCCATTAATTTTTTTATTTAATAATAGTAACTTTTATTATTAGTTTTGTTTTATTTATTACAAATAAAGAAGCTTGACGACCAGGTTTTCTTCAGGTAACGATTTTCGAATCCGTGGAGATTCTCAAGGTCAGCCAGGTGCGTCCGAGCGTATCGCAAGTCGCCACAAGTGATTTTGTATATTCGTCTGGGAACTATTCTAAAAACAGTGCGTGGTCTGACAGAAAGAGGGGGGGGGAGGGAAGTGGTGACACCGAAGAACGATCGAAGACATCCGGTCGTCGGGGATGAGATCCGAGGGACTATTTAAAACTAACTGATCGTGGAGAACGGGTGATAACAAAAAAAAAACAAACAAAGTCATTGTAAGTTTTCGCAAGAACCTCACGTTCGTTTCCTACTATTTTTGTATGCAAACATAAAAACAAAAGGGAGATTGTTGGTAGCGAGAGGATCAGACGAGGGGCGAGGAGGAAGCGAAGTCGACGCTTCTTTTACGTTTGGAAATTCGCATCTTCCTGGATCACCTTCCGTTCGACCGCACACCGCCACGTCGATGACTCGTTAGCTTGGCGTAATATTTTATGTTTGTTCGGCTAGAAATTCTGCGATTGTTCCTGGAAAATTATCGAATTCGACTCTGCGAGAAACCTTGCGATTCTGTATAATTTTCCTGTACGGTCTTCGTTGCTTCGCTTTCATATTTTCAGTTTCTGTTTCGCCGATATTGTGCGCCGGACGCAGAAAGCAGATTGTATAATTCGTCAATATTTTTTTAGTCTACAGATGGGCAAAATTTGTAAAATATTGTACCGAATACCGTAAGTTGTAGTGATTTTGAGACATTCAGGGGTTACCTTGTCCTCAAGTATGACAATGATCATTTCGAAATTTTCAGCTCTTTTGCAGGTATTTTTACGTGAAACTGTATTTTAACTTAATTCGAACAATTTGTAAAGCTACAAAATCGAAAATAATCATTTTCTGACCTGGGACAGAGTTACCCCTGACTGAGTCAAAGCTACCCCAATTTAGGGTACTCGATTGCACAATACTAACATAATTTATCTTCTCGATTGAAATTGAAATGTTTCTCATTTTATACATGTATAGAATAACGTATAAAAGGTTTCAGGACCTGTTGTAAAAAATTTTGTCCATCGAATGAATTTCGACGTTAGCTGGCGTGAAGTCGACGTTTCGTTGTCGATGAGCGAGGCATCCCACCGCGATTGTTTCGCGTTTCGGTGAACATGTTTGAGGCTGACATCCCTGGACAGATGTTAACCGAGAGCAAGTTTCAAGTTCATTGCACCGCACACTTGCATTGTTTCTGGATTAAGGTGCCCGGTTGTTTATTATTTAATTTTTTTTCTTTTTTTTTTGGACATATCACACGGTACAAGGACAAGTGATGGCTGTGCCTTTATGCTTAACTGCAAGCTGTAGGGTTTAGACATATTTTCGTTTTTAGACCGAGCATCGTGTGCGGTTTCAGCTTGCGGCTTGTGCTCTGTCGATTATTATAGAAACGGATGGAAATGAATATAATTTATTATATTTGTTCTTGGAATAGAAAGAAAAAACAACGGGGAGGGGAAAGATGTTCAGACGTATTCACTGATCCTTTGTGGGCCAAATACGGTTGAGGATATTGGTGTTAACTCTTTGAGGCCCAGGGTTGCTAGATGTATCCAATCCAGGTGGATGTACGCGAACAAGGAATTGTAAAATTTTGTGTGTAATTAATAGGAGAAGACGTTCTCTGTGTCATTGTGCAGAGTGATTCATTTTGGGAATGAAGCTTTGGTTTCCCAAAGAACGTAATTAATTTTCACATAGATGTTAAACGGTCCAGTGAGTGGTGAGATATGATTGCAGTCTTCGTTCCAAATGATCTCAGTTGCCCTTATGCGAAAGAAAGGTGTCTGAAGGAAGACTGTTTTTATGTCTGAGTCATTCTGTGAAATCAGTTACAGAGTTTTTTCTTTTATTTTTAATAGTAGAGTTTCTGCTCCCAGTGGATCATTCTGTACGATATGAAATGGTACAAAATGTAGTTACAGAAATGGTGAACGTGTATGATCCTCAAAGAGTTACATGGAGGATCGTTAATCGATGGAACGAGTGAGAGGGAGAGAAAGAGAGAGAGAGAGAGACAGAGTGTTTGTGTGTGCGTGGGAAGGAGAAACTAGACGAGGAAAACTACCTACGACGAATTTGAAGAGGATTCGTTTGTAAACACATCGCGAAAGTGACCGAGGTGGTGAAAGCGAGATT